TTGTAACTAAGTTTCGTTTATCAAATTAAACAAAAATAAAAAGCATAGATCATAGAATCATCTGTACTAATAATCAAGCGTAAACATACACTACTTTGTGGCGTAAGATGTCAGCAATCACAGCATATTTCTAAATAATTCTTTCTTTAATAAAAAGCCCTACACTTACAATACGCTTTAGGCTATATATTTTCATGCTAATAAACTTAGGGAGTAAATAAATAGAAAAAAAAACCTTTATGTGAGAAAGAGACCATAAACTACAAGCTGCCAACATTAAGGAAGCAAGGTTATTATGGTAACAATTTTTTTTAATTTTATTATTTAAAACTTTATTCTCAAAAATTAAATTACAAATGTTTAAACTATACTAAAACTAAAAAATATGTGCAAGGGCGGCCTTATTTCTATGAGCAATATCTTACAGGCAACCCAGTGGGACAGGAGTTGCAATTTTAATATTCTTATAATTTCATGCGGATGAAGCCGCATGGGAACAGCTAGTTTACAATAAAACTGCGGTTACGATTGTTTACGTAGGACCCTAACACTGGTTTAATATAACTGTCTTCACAACAGGTGCTTTGAAACAACTTTCTCTGATGAGTTTACAAAGGGCCGAGAGACCCTCGACCTCTTTCAAGTGGTTTCCTAATATAATAAAAATATCTCAGCCTGAAACATTACTGGATTGAAAACTCAATAGGAAAATATTATTACGCAACATTCCTGATTAAAAAAAAATATACTTAAATCAAAAATACATAAGTTTTGCCTTAATGAAATTTAACACAGATGTCACACATTGGACGCACAAATACTTTTTTAATTCCACGCGGATGCAGTCGCGGGCAAATGTTAGTATTCAACCAGACTGTAAAGTCTAGTACTTGAAATTTTTTATTAACAGTAATTAACATGGAATTATTTTAATAATAAGAATTAGTTAAATCGATTTAAAATCTTCATAAAAAAACATAAAAAGAGCCTGTACTCTCAAAATCGTTATTTTTAGGGTATCCTTCAATTATATCGTCGGCAGCTACCAAGGACGCAGAACTCAAAGGAGCTCTCAATCTCAACGAGAAAAGCATTTCTAAGCGATACGTTTCTATTTCTATTCCATCATGACTCGCAAATTACCTTGTGAATGTGCCGAAACGAAATGAGATACCCTTTTGAGCTATGTACTCCTGGTACTTTGTTCAAATTAGTTTTCTCTCCGACGTTATATTTAACGCTAATTTCGCATAATGCTTTAATTAAAGTTTTGTTACATATATTTGAATCTATACATGTAATAAAATTGGAATGTCTGTTTGTAATATCAAAAGCAAAATTCCAGATTAAATAGTATTTAATTTTTTTTGTCTGTCTATCTGTACGCAAGCCGAGTTTGTTTCGGGTAATCTCCGAAACGGCTGGGCCGAAGGGTAGCTGACAGACGGGAATATTATAGGCTACTTTTCAATTATAATATTGCGTTGATGAAGTCGCAGGCAACAGCTAGTGCAACATAATTTTCATTTTAACGAAACTATAGATCAATAAAACTAATCACTAGGAACAGTTTAAGGCTACATTTTTCTCATTCCTAATCCTAGTAAAAGCAGTTACCTAATAAATAATAACAGTCTCTTGTTTTAGATAAAACAAAAAACAAACCAACTCAAAAATATATTTGCGAAGTTGCTCACAACTTCGGATAAAATGGTCAAGCAATTTTCTTTTAACCTTGTTTTGAATAAAAAGATGCGAATGCTTATAACTTTGTTATTTGGCCAAACAGATATGTACATAGAGCTAAGAAAAAACAGATTGGGTAACATGTTTGCCAACGGATAGACGATTTGACAGACGAGTGAGAGATAAAACATTTTAGAACTACCCTCATTTTACTAATGTTATAAATCTTACTCCTTACTAATATTATAAATGCGAAAGTTTAGATGGATGGATGTTTGTTAGAGTTTGTAGCCAAAACGGCTGAACAGATTTCGATGAAATTTGGTATAGATGTATAGGATAGTCTGGAAGAACACATAGGCTCCTCACTTTTGTTTCTTTATCTCCACGCGGACGGAGTCGCGGGCGAAAGTTATACATAAATTATTCTTTTAGAACACAATTGAGTATAATCCATATTAAATTGAAATGTATATTTTCTCTAGAACATTCTAGAAATCCTTTTTAAGGTCAATGGGAACACCTACGCAAGTTTAAATAACATTTGAAAATGTCTGTCTTTAGATAATTTCATTTTACTACTATTTGCTTATAGTTACTATGATATAAAAATTGTACATTTCTTGTAATATCATGTAGTACAAGATAAGAAAATAAATTACTAAAAAACAAATTATAACCTCAAATTACTTACCTTTGAATGTTATCCATTTCTAAAGCTCTTCTTAATGTCACTTAATTGTCAATTATATTCCATTTAATAACAATTATCTATGTTTATTTATACATTTACAATCGTTGTAAAAACATGCTTCATTTCCCGCCTAACAGGACGTCCAACCACGGTGAAAGGCGGGCGCGAACTGGAGGCGCCATTCGATTGACATAAGGGTGTTATTTGATATCTATGGAGCTGCCATTGGGATATAATTCTTACTAATATTATAAATGCGAAAATTTAGATGGCTGTTTTTTAGTGTCTGTAGAATAAACTACTGACGGATCTTTATGAAATTTGCCAGAGATTTAGAGGATAGTCTGGAAGAACATAGACTATTCTCTTTTGTTTGTTTTTTAATTGCATATGGACGGAGTCGGGCAAAAGCTAGTTAAATGTAAAAATAGCGTCTAAAATGAGATACTTACCATCGGTATTGATCGTATTAAGACATTAATAGGTTTTTAATTAGTGTTTAAATAATCAATTAATTTGAAAAGATTACTTTAACAGAAGTGTGTTAGAAAAATAACTACAGCAATGTACAAAATTATCGTCTTAATGTTAACTACAATAGTTTTACTGGTAAAACATTAGTACATAAATGTAACATTTTTTATCTCAGTTTTTCAAACTAATGAGAGGGAAAGCGACATATTTTGTTGTTTATAAGGCTAGGAAAACGAGAGAAAACTGCCATTAGAAACTCACAGATTATAAAATCGTGTGTCTATGTTCTAATGTAAAAAGTCGAGAACTCAGTCCAATGTTAGTTCGCATATTCAAATTACAGAGTAACAACTCTATGTATGTCCCTATAAATTAACGTTGGAAATTGTAGCGTAAGCCGTTACCCACCCCCGCGACCGCTATCCGCCCCCGCGTCACCCCTCGCCCGCCCAGCAACAGTTTGCCTGCAATGTTGCCAGGATATAGATGCAATTTCCTCAATTTAATATAAATAGCAACTTGTCTTATAAAACTAAAAATAAATGTTTGTATTATACGTAATTTTTTTTTCAGTAAAAATGACAAGAAATTAAAAATGTGTTGCTATTATAAAAAATTTAAAAAGCCTTCAAATCGAATAACATTTTTTTAAACAATTTTTACGTTCTCGTGAAAATTTAAACGAATTTTTTATTTGTTCAATTTTCACAAAATAACAAACAAGTTATTTATACCCTTATATATATGTAATAGTATGGGTAAACCTGGCAATATTAATCGTTTAAAAATAAAAACGCTTACAAAACGACCAATTCCAATTAACACGCGAAATTACCTTTCCTGTCCCGCGCCAACCCTTTGGCGTTTGCACTTTCTATATAGGAAGGAATACCATTTTGATTTTCCATTCCATTCACAGTAAAATAAACTGTATTACAAGGGAGTAAAGTTTATCGTACATGCTATTTCTTTGTTTTAAGCAATATTTATTTGATACGTTTAGTAATAGTCACTTATGTGGTTATTATTTTAATAACCCATTATGGATGTCCCATATTTAGTTACATTCCATTAAAAACTTTGTGATTAAGTTAATGTTAGTTGTTTTGCCTAACTTTAATCAAATGAAGGAAATGCACAGAATAAGGACATTTCCTCTACACATACGTCCTAATGTATTTCATTATTTACTAAATTTCGCCCGCGATTCCCTCCTCCTGCATAGAAAAAAAAAGTAACTAGCCTATGGATTCTTTCATACTAACCTCTATATCTATGCCAAATTTAATAGAGATCCGTTCAGCAGTTTAGGCTACAAACTCTAACAAACATCCATCTAAACTTTCGCATTTATAATATTAGTAAAAAGTAAGTTTATTTAGCGTAGTATTTGACAGACTACACAATAATTTTGAGCGCTCATCACGGTATAAAAGGGTTGACACAACATATGTTTAAGTTAAAAAACACTGCCTTTTACGGTAAGGCCCTTGATTTTCATAGCTCTTAATGGTGACCTAGATAATACAATAGGAATAACTTAGAGTGAACTTGACTAAGCGAAGTGCATCTCAATACAATGACCCTGACCTTGCGATGTGTCGTCGAAAAGACGAGCGTAGCTTAAGCTATAGTCAAGTGTTACTTAACACGACTTTGTAACATGAAAAATCTTCACTTCTACAATCTTGTCAATCTCATTAATATTATAAATGCGAAAGTTTAGATGGATGGATGTTAGAGTTTGTAGCCTAAACGACTGAACGGATCTCGATGAAATTTGGCATTGAAGTAAAATAGTCTGGAAGAACACATAAGGTTCTTTAACTTATTAAAACTTTCGTGATACATTATAGTATATAAATT